GCAGCTCACAACTGCCTAACTCCAGGTCCAGGAGACCTGGTGCCCTCTTCTGGTCTTGAAGGCACCTGCACACACTTGTGGTTCACAGACATACAAGCAGGCAAAACACGTATGCATATAGAATAAAATGTTTAAGATGTTAATTTAAAAAAGAAATTTATTGCCGGGCGGTGGTGGCGCACGCCTTTAATCCCAGCACTCTGGAGGCAGAGGTGGGCGGATCTCTGTGAGTTCGAGGCCAGCCTGGACTACCAAGTGAGTCCCAGGAAAGGCGCAAAGCTACACAGAGAAACCCTGTCTTCAAACCCCCCCCCCCCAAAAAAAAGAAAAGAAATTTATTTAAAAAAAATTTTAAATACATATACATTTTCCATTTATTAAAAATGAAAGCAAATTTGCACACTAATGACATGAAGATGTTTATTTTTCCATAAAGAACTAAATCTCAGTGGGGCACAGCATACGCACCTGTCATCCCAACACTCGGGAGGCAGAGGCAGGAGGATTGCTGCAAGTTCCAGCCCAGCCTGGTCCACAGAGTGAGTTCTAGGTCAGTCAAAGCTGTATAGTGAAACTTTCTCCAAAGAACAAAACCTAATAAACCAATAATAAATCTTGGCTAGATATCTAGTATTGCAGAATGCAGAACATCTTCAACAGTTTTCAGAGTTGACAGATACTTTGATTTCATAAGCAATGCTGAGATCACCACTTCACAGAAATACATACTGCAAAATGGCAAAAGAATGTTTTAGGGCCTTTTCAAAAATTCCTAGAAAGTGTCCTAATTCTACCAAAATTTATTTAATGATTTTTAACTTTTAATTTAAAGCATTTGTATAGATTGCATGTGAGCATATTTTTTCTAATAAATTTAATCTTTGTTTTTAAGTGAAACTCAAGTCAACTCTTAAAAGAAATTTTTGTATGTGTGTATGTATGTGTGAATACATGTGGGTTGGGTGTGCGTGCGTGCGTGCGTGCGTGCGTGCGTGCAGCCAGAGGACTACATTGAATGTCATTACTTAGGAGTTATCCATCTTGCTTTTTGACAGTCTCTGTCTGACCTTAATGGTAGGCTGAGCTGGTCAGCCAGAGAGCCTCAGGTCTCTGTCTCTGCATCCCCTGGTACATGCCCTGAACCGGCTGCTTTTCACATGGGTGCTGAGGCTCACCTCAGTCCTGGTGCTTGTGTGGAGAGCGCTTAACTTAACTGTCCCATCCTCCCAGACCCCAAACAGCAATTTTTAAGTCAGACATTCTAATACATCCCCGAGAAATACTGTAACCCGAGTACCATGTCGAGGAATGAAGGCAGGGGAATTCGAAGGCTTTGTGTTTATGATTAAACTTAGGATTCTCTAAAAACAGAAAACTTGTGTATACAGTAATAACATGGAGATTCATAGCATGCAGTCGTCTCGAATCTGAGCTGAGGTGTTTAGGGCAGCGCTGGCTGGTGTGATGTGTGCGGTGTGATGGGTGTGAACAGTACAAAGTATGCCTGTTGGGTGTGCAGACCTGAGGCTGCAGCAGAGGAGGCAATAACAGCCTGGAATCATTACAGGTTTGATTTTGAAGTAAGTTTTGGTTTTTACCCATTCACAGACTTTTCTTGTCAATCTTTTCACAACTCCACGTTCAGTTCCCTCTGTGGGGGGTCACAACACTCGGTTTAAGAAGCTGGACCCCAGCTTAAGGATGCGCTCCAACCTCTTCATAAAGATACCCTTTCCTCTTTGTAGTGCTAAATAAGCAACCTGCAGAGGTGTGTGTGGTGTGTGGTGTGTGTGGTATTTGTGTGTGTGTGTGTGTGTGTGTGTGTGTGTGTGTGTGTGTAGATCAGAGGTCAATTTACACAATTTCTGGTGTCTTTCTCTACTGCTCCCCACCTTTTTTTTGAGACAGTGTCTCTCTTTGAACCTGGAGCTCACAGACTACCCACAGCAGCTGACCCGAGAGCCTAG